CCCCAAAACCCCAAAACCCCAAAACCCCTCCAAAAGTCTATAAATAGAATCATACTTTTACTGATTAGCCTTCTCCATTCTCTGGAAAATGCTAGATAATTTCGAGAGATTATCTGCTATTTCCTTATTATCCACTGGTGCATTAGGGTCCTCTTCGTCAGCCTGTTTGGCTCTCTTGGAATCAACCAGGTTTTGGTCGAATTTAGATTCCTCCCTTTTCCGCTTATAACCTGTCTTTTTATTAAGATCCTTGACTGCTCTCTTAGCATGCTCACTCATCATCTTCTGGCGCTCCTTGAGGTCATTCATCTCTCCGATAAAGTGGGCTTCCATTTCTTGTTCCTTCTTCTCGAATGGGCTGGAAGGAGCCCAACGCAAGGTAATGGGATCAGTACCACCAAAAATGGCTTGGTCATACATTGCCTCACGAGCGAACTCAGCGTAGAACCTGTGAGAGTACTTTACGAAGCCAACTCATTTGGAGACATTTAAGTGAATATCAACTAGATCTCCCCAAGGAGCGAATGCCTCGTAAAATATCCTTAAGAGTTCTCGGACTGGCTTTGAGCGATCAGGAATCGCAATGTCTGTGATCTTAAGAGTTTTACAATCCTCAGAGAAGGTTCCAATACCAGTGAAGTCTTCCTTGAATTTTGAATGCTTTGTTCTTCCGAATCAGTCTTTTACAATTTCATCATCTCTTAGATCTGAAGGCTGTGGTACTCTGTGATAGAATCTACAGTTAACTCCTTCAGAGCAGCAGCCACGTGCGAAATAGGTACAGAAGTAGCCTGCCTTATCAAACTTGTCAGCCTTGGTGTACCCAGGATCTTCGATTGGGTCAAGTTTGTGCATACTGGTGACTCTCTCCTCCTCAATTCTCTGGTCCGTAAGGAACTTATCATACCAAATATTGTAGTCATAGTTCCCTTCAATATAGGCAGTCTCGTTACGCATATCCTTGATTTGTTTTCTAGCTGGCCTTTTCATGATATCTTCATGTACAACCCTCTTGATCTGTTCAAAGTCTCCGATGGCTGCTTCCGCTTCGTCCTCATCGTCACTAGCTTGGTTCACCTGATCCGTAGCATTAGCTAGCTCAGGGTACATAATCTCGAGGTTATTTCTTCTTAAGTTCTTCGATTTCAATCTTTTTCTTCTGGTGCTCTGTAGGCTCCTTCTCTTCCTCCTCTTCTTCTTGGAGGAAGGATTTGTTGATCTTTTCCAAGTTGCCTTCAGTCATATCAGCACAGATGGCTCCTTTGGGCAGCGACCAGACTGAAGCCCCTGTCTTCGGGTGGTAGTAATATGGTGCTTTATGAGTCTGGTCGTAGTACATCTCGTAGTAGTCGTGGGAACCACCTGTGTTCTCGGCTATTTGTGCATTGTTATCTGGCTTTGTGATAGCGTCCTCTGAAGGCTTCGCCTCTATCTCGTTTGGAGCAGACATTTCTAATTATTTGACTTGGATTTCAAAAATTATAACTAAAATAGGGGTTTTGGGGTTTTGGGGTTTTGGGGTTTTGGGG